GTTAGGGAGGTGCCAGCCCCAACCTCTTGAACTTCCCACGCTCCTGTTGGGGGCTAAGAACACGCTTATCTCCCTGAGCCTGGCCTTCATAAGTCCATTCCATCACAAGTTTGCGTTATTTATTTCCGGCCGGTTTCACCCTAGGCAACGGAAGAGCCGAATAGTTTGAGCACAACCATAGTTTTGGTTCCAGTTTAGCTGGAGGATTGTTTAAAGATGGTGCGGTATTCTTTTCAACCTTCTTTCTCTTCAAATCAGGTTGGGGGGACGAAAGCCGGCGTGGTGCGTTTCCTGGGGGAGACGGATTTTGCAAAGGGAGAGTGGTGTGGCGTTGAGTTGGATGAACCTCTGGGCAAGAACGATGGCGCAGTGGCGGGAACAAGGTAAGCTCCTGTGGCTGAGCGTCGGGGCATCCCGTTTCCAAGTCAGCCCTGGCCACCTTCCCTTTTGAGTTTATCGATCTTCATGTTTAGGGGGGAGTTATCTCTGTGTGAGTTTCTGCCTCCCCTCTTCCCCTTGCAAGACGGTAGAACAAGGAGGGTCTTGGGAAAAAAATGGCCACCGTGAGAGAATTCTCCGGTGTTTTTGTTACAGCACGGGGAAAGGGGACCGACAGTTGCTCGTTGCAGCAAACCTGTTCTGCTCCCTTCCTGCTGCAAAAACAGGCCTCGTTGTGGATGCTGGCCTGCATTCTTTGTCTCCAAGACAAGGAGATTTTGTTTTCTTCAATATTTATCTCACAGGGCAAGGAGAACCCTGGGAAAGATGGGGCCAAGCTGGCTTTCAGGAGTGTCTGACTTGCATAGACTCCTTGAAAGCTCTGTTTCCATAGCGTAAAGCCATATTTGCACTCCCAGGATTAATGCAATGAAGGGAGAGGCCTTGGGGCTCTAAGCCAGCCCTGGATTAAAGTCAACCACTGCTGTCTCAACTCTTCCAGCCTACATGCCCTTGGGGCTACATGAGGCCAGATCCAGTTAGGGATCAATCTGACGCCCAGCTGATTCATACCCACCTAGGTTCTGGGGTCACCTTTCAAGAATGGTAATGTTCATCAACCCCACCCCACCGATCAACAGCTTACAGCTCCCCACAGCAACTTTCCTCCCAGGGTTCCTCATCATACAGAGGGGCTGGGGAAGTTGGCCGTGGCTATAACTGGGTGTGGGCTCATGTCAGTGTCCCACAGAAAAGGAGATGTCCTTCCCAGGAATCTCCCCGGTTCCCCCACTGCCCTCTCAGGCGTAGCCCTGCCCTGCAGCCTGACTGTATGGCCCCAGAGTGACTGATCACACCACGGGAAGAGGGGCTGGGTTCCCTGCCCTGGGGTACGTTCAGGCTTAAAGCTAATGACACTTAGCTGGGAATAAGCATGCAGGATATCAAGCCATGGGAGGACCTGATTCTAAAACCGTGGAGTTTTCAGCTGCAGTTTTAGGACTTCTGGCCCGGGTGGACACACGGAGCCCTTCTGTCCACCCGCCTTTTTAATCCATTTGACAGGTTCTGGATTTTTTTTCTACGTCCCTGGGGCCGTTGAGCAGCCCGGGGTTTTCTGCTTCTCTTCCAAAATTCAGCTGTAGGATCACGTCATCTGAGAGCGTGTCTCCTGCGTACAGCTCAGGTGACTTACTTCAGTATAATTTTAAGATGGGACCACCTCGAGCATATAAACTACATACATTTTC